TTGAAGTCATGTCTCTTCTCCGTGTTTGCTGCCACTGCACCCACTGTGTCTGCCAGCCCCACCACTGCCACCTTCTGTCGTCCTTATGAGAGGTCTATCAGGAGAGCTTCCCATTCGACAACTGTGGCAGGAAAGGCTGGACAGAAGAATTCAAACTGCATGAAATCTCAGTAGGACCCTCAGCCAACATTCTGGGGAATTTGGAAGATGAGGTGACCCTGCAAATTTGTCCAAATTTTTGATACAAGGACGAGGCTTACCTCTCTGTCTTGCTTTGGAAACCAACCTGGGAAGAAGAGTATGACCTTAGGCAAGGTAGCCGTCTTCGGATGAAACAATCCTAAAAGACAGGCATCTCAGAGCTGTCTGACAACAGACAGTTGAGTTCTGTCTATCAAATCATTAAAACAATAATTTATCGTTTCGGTAAAAATCCTATGCTTAGTAAATGGGTGTAGTAATCAGCTGATAGTAAAGGGAGTAAATTCCATCACAAATGGCTCAACCACACTTCAAGTCCTTTCTGGGGAAGAACTTTTAGGCCGATCTCTTCATTCTATAGGTAGGAAAGCTGAAGCCCAGAAGGTCTCAGCTCATGAGCTCTCTGTGAAGCACAGTCACATAGAAAATGGGCAGCCTCTGAGCATGTGTTCTAGACTTACACTGGGTGTTCTGTATACCTTAATTAAATACGTATGACAATTCTACAAATTAGGAACCGTTATTGTCTTCATTTGGCATACATAGAAATAGCTTAGGGCAGCCAGCTGAGTCATCTGAGATTAATCTATTCAGCGGTGAAGCTGAGATTCAACCTTGAGTCATCTTGACTGCTGAGCCCACATACAGTAGGCAGCATTACAATTAACTGTTTTTCCTCTGTGCAGTTAATGTATAACAAAATTTTATAAGAAAAAATTGTATATCTATGTATACATACACATGATACGGTTTATTTTTAAGAATGGATGCAACACTACCACAAAGAACACAATGTTTGTGTTCAGGTAAGAGGATCAGCAGGCCTGTTTCCAGATGAGACATCTATTTCCCATCAACTATAAATCAGAGACTACTCAAGTAATTTCAGTTTCCACATCCATTCCGTGCCAGGTTCTCTGGACCTGGTGGTCTTGCTGGTTTCATAGCTCTGTTGTTCCTCCCAGAGAAGCCTATAGATCTGACCAAGAGAGATTACACGTAAACACCTTTCAGCAGCCCTGGAGAGCTTTCCTCCTGCCCTTCCCAAGCCACCAAGGAATGGCCTGTCCACAGGTGGCCCAAACTGAGTGTATAAAAGACCTTCTCTGAGACTTGAGAAGCCACTAAAGTTGAGTGCTTTTTTTCTTCTGCTCTATCAAAATGAAAGTCCTTCATGATTAAATGCCTGTATCTTATAATCTGAGTAACTAATTTAAAGATAACAACATGCAATGTATTAACCACTGTTACCTTATTATCTTGTTTTGAAATTTTGTTGTATTTTTTCCTCAAAATAAAATGAAAACCTTTTGAGTAAAAAGGACTCTGAAGTGTGAAGATTTCTCAGCATAAAAATGGTTTCAAATTACAATAGTATGATGTAGTCCAAGAAATTCTAAACTGCGTCAGAAAAGGTGGATTAATTTGTTTAAGAAACATTCATTGTGTTCCTACCAAACCCCAGGCCCTGGGCCAGCTGCTAGAGACTGTAGTGTTTGGGGAGTCTGTCATTTAATGTAGAACTTCTCAATGTTAGTGTGTGTAAGAATCATTTTGGAAATTTGTTCCTAATGCACATTCCTGAATCCCAGCCAGAGCTTCTGATTGCTCAGGTTAGGGCTAAGGCTTAGGAAGCTGCATTTTGAGCAGTGTCTGGGCTGCTCTTCAGTGGGTACCTTGGGGAACCTAGTGAGTTTTTAAATTCTGATCAGTTGTTGACTTAAGTCCCTTAAACTCTGGGTGTTAGGGATTCGAAGAAACACACAATTTCTAAGTCCTTCAGGAAAACTTAGAAAAACTTTCTAGAAAGGCTTTCTATTGGACAATGACACATCAAGAAGGCACTATCTCTTTCCAAATAGGCAAAAGACACTTTTTCATCATGTGACCTATGGGGAGAAACTAAAAGGGTTTTATTAGAGCTATTCATATGTGTATAAACAATTTACCAATTTGTACACTCAAATTTCATGTACTTTGTCATATGGCTATTTACCATATCAATGTTATACCTCAATTAAAAAATTTTTTTGTAGTACATGATATAGAACTCATGACCTCACACTTGCCAGGCAGATGCTTACACTGCTGAGCTAAATCCTCAGTCCTTGAAAAATTGTTAAAGAAAATTTTAAAAGGTCAAAAGGGATAAGAGGTGTTTAAAGGTGCTATTCTAGGGAGAAACAGAGGCAAGTTTGGGTATTTGCAGCAAAGAAAATAGGAGTAAGAGAGAAATTCAGAGCTCTCAATGAAGGTACCAAATGAACTCAGCAGCTGTCATTGTAGAAAGGGCTGGAAATGGGAATTAGCAGATGTGACTGCCAGCAGGTCAAAAGGTTCAAGTAGCAAGAGTGAGGTACCATGGCTAGAAGAAGGAAGGAAGGAAGGAAGGAAGGGAGGGAGGGAGGGAGGGAGGGAGGAAGGGAGGAAGGGGCAGACAGGAAGGAAGAAGGGGAAGAGGAGAGAGTAGAAAGGAAGAAAGGAGAGGGAGGCTTGGGTAAAGGAAAGAGAGAGAAAATGCAAAGAGGAGGCCCTGGCCCCAGAAGAAGCTTATAATATTGTGGGTGGCCGTGCTCTGTGGTTTTGAGCAGGTAATTTGCCCTAGTCCTGTATGTGGATCTTTAAAATGTGCTGGACCTCCTAAAGCCATCATTAGAAATAAAAGACTGATGGATTTGAAATGTGATTTGTAAACCATAAAGAAGTGCTAAATACTGCTTATTAGGAATACATTCTGGCTTGAGATTAGGACAGCTGCAAATTGTACAGGAACAGGCAGCCCAGTTCAGCTCTCCCAGGACTTCCCACATCATTCTCAAGCTCCACAACCAAACACACAGGGGTCCGGTGAGGTTTTCTTTTCTTTCCTTTTCTGCTCTGGCATGATTTGATGTTGCTCTATGCAGGCCTGAGTAGAAGAAGCCTTTACCACCACCACCATCCCCTTCCAGCTGTTCCTCAGACTCTCCGGAGCCCTCTGCCCATCTTCTCCCAGGCAGAACCAGCTGTTGTCGCAGAGGCCACCTGCCTCCTCGCTGGGCCAGAGGCCTCAGCAGAGACCCAGGCAGCTTGCTGGAGGCCCTTGAGGAAGGAGGCAAAACAAGACAGACACTAAAATGAAATGAATTGTCTACAAATTTTTTTAATTAAAATTGTGATTCTTTTTCAGAGCAGGAGAGGCTCTTTAAGAACAATTGCATTCCCTGAGTGGCAGGCGAGAACTCAGGAGGGAAAGGAAGTGAGAGCTGAGAGGTGATGGATGATGGGTACTTCCCCATTTGGGAGAGGAGAGCAAAGAGGAGCTGTGGCGGGGAGCTGGAAGGAGGGGTTGGTTCTGTAACTTCCCATCCGGGGCTCCTAAGAGAGAAGATAGAGCTTTTTGGGAACCCTGAAGCTGGGAATTTTGTGTTTTCTTTTGTTCCATAAAATTATGCCATTTCCTCCCTTCTCACCCTTGGGGAGCCCAACCACCAGCCTGGAAACTGAAGCCTGAGACACAGGACCTGTACCTTACACCCTTCTGACACTCAGACAGAAGGAAGGAATCCAAAAGGGTGTGTGTGTCTGTCTGCTTATGTGTGTCTGAGAGAGAGAGAGAGAGAGAGAGAGACAGAGACAGAGACAGAGACAGAGACAGAGAGAAATGGGGAGATGTGGGGCAAACAAGGCCAGAGAACCCACTAGGAAGAAGGGCCCTCCGAGGAGGGGCAGGGTTTCTGAACGACGGAAGAGTAAAAAAAGGAAATGATTTCAAGGGACAGTGATGGTGGTGGGGGACCTGCAGAGGTGAAGGATGCTATGGATTTTGCAAACAAAAGTGAACTGCTTGTGGGCTGCTGATCTAATCTTAGCAAAACCCGGAGCTCAATGCGGGAACCCCAAACCCGCAGCACCTCAGCTCAGTTTAAAGACCCCGCGGTCCACACCGCGCAGCTGCCACCTTTTGGATGCTTCGAACTGAGGACGCAGTCGTTGCACAAGAGCTGAAGGTCAAGGGGCCTGGCTTCTGCGGGTGCTGTGAGGGAACTGGGGGTCCCCAAACTCTCAGGTGTCTGGACGCCGTCAGAGGGGTTCCCAGCTGCCCTAAGTCTCTCAGGCTGCGCCCAGGACACAAGCGCTGGAGGAGAGTGTGTCCAAGACTGGCCTCTCCCCAGCCTCCCGGCTTCCTCAGACTCCTACTCCACCGCCTGAGTCCTGGCACCAGATGACCAGATGGAGGGAGAAGTCTTTGCCCAGGACAGAGTATAAATTTCACTTTCTTGCTCCCTTCAAGTTGTTTTGTTTCTTTGTTTGTTTGGTTACTTTTTCTTTCTTTTTTTATCAACGGCTAAGAGACTTGTTCTAAGTTAGAAGAGAATAAAAATTTGCCTGTCCTGGCTTCCGCGGGGAGAAGGAGAGGTTACACAAACTCCCATATGCAGATGCAGCCGGAAAACTCTAGAAACTGTAGAGAACAGGGATTTTAGGATTCAGAGACAAATTCCTAAATAAACCCAGAATCTAACAGTGGGGGAAGACCAGAGGGACTCGAAATCTTAGGAGCAACGGGAGCTCCGGAGTGAGAGAAGGGTGCTGAGTGCTTGTAGCCCGGGGTCTGTTTCTCTGGGAACCAAAATCTCCCCCAAACCTCATCCCAGAAGTTCAGCGGTACCAGTTGCAGGGCCCCAACTGCGGCTGCTGCCCCCCTCTGCCCCAGGAGTCCCCGAGGCGGACAGTCATTTCCTGGATCTTTCTTCTTTTTCTTCTTCCTTTGTGTTTTTATTTTTTTTCCTTCAAATATAAGACAAAAATACACCTCATTTATCATCATAGATATATATATTTCACTCTCACCACATAAATACAAAACACCCAAGTAGCCAAAACATTCAGAACAAAGTTAGTAGGATTTCAGTGACACCTACCCGCGTTTGAATCATTCAATATTTTTTCACTATTTGCCTAAAAAAAAAAAAAAAAGAAAAAGAAAAAAGAAAGAAAAGGAAAGGAAAAAGAAAAAAAAAGCTTCCAGCGTAAATAATTTACAATAAAGTTACTATTTTTAAAAATGACTTGCGCTCGTTTTGATGGATAAATACATTCTAGACACTGCGGCATTTCGCGGTCTGGGTCTGTGGTTTTGGTTAAAATGCGGGTGGCCGTGGCTGTGGGAACTGTCGTGGTCGCGTGGGGTAGGGGTGAAGCCGAGCCAGTGTGACAGTCAGGGTTTGCACTTGGGACCGCTGAAACCCTGGGGCTGGGGGCCACAACGAAAGCCTTTCCTGCCAGCTTCGCGGGAAACCCCTGGGACCCCAGGGCTACCCCGCAGCGTCCGTACCTCCCATCAGTAAAGACCTGCTCCCAACGCCAGGCATTTCCTGTGTGGTGGAAAGCTGGTGTTAATCTGGGGATGTGGAAGAGAAGGCAATGGGTGTTAAGATGCATTTCCAAACCCAGCGATTCTGCCCGGAGCCGTGCGTCCGGGAGATCGGGGTGAAGGGCTAAGGTCCGCACAGACCCCTGCGGCCGCACTGGACCAGGAAGGAGCAGGAAGCTGTCCACACTGCCCCAAGCAGCCTTGAAGAAAAGATTCTGACTTTACTGGAGACGTCTCCTTTGCTTCCCCCCCTTTAAATTCCTGCTTAAAGTCTCAACATCCCGAACTTCAATTTTGCATTACCCTGTGGCACATTTCCTATTCTGATTTCTCTTACAACTTCCAAACTCCATTATGACGAATATTAAAAACCGGTTCCATGTCACCTGGTTTGATGTAGTAGTTATTACTCTTTATTGCTGATTAGATCAAATTTATTACCATCGTTGCCTACTAGGATGTTTGGTTTATTGTTTCCTGGGGTCAGGGGAGGCTGTGATCGGAGTTTTCCTACAAGGGAGAAAACTCGAAAGAAAGTGTCCTCCAGGAAGCTAAGTGTGCACCGACAATTCCGAGAGGTTCACAAAGTGGGGCCCAGGAGCTCCAAAAGCCCTGGTTTCTCTGGCAAGAGGAAGAAATGTCCTCCTTTTTGGTCTAAAGAAACCTGCAAGCTTTTTTAGGCCCTGGGGTCTGCGTAAAGCTTTCCTCTTTCACATATTCGTAGGAATAATCCGCAGCGGCAGCAGCCACATCTAGAGCAGGCGTCCTGTGCCCTGGATTTGGAACCAGTCTTTTCCCTCCAGGTATGAGGATTGGTTGGGACATCAGGTTGACTAATTCGGGTAGTTCCCTCAATTCTTTGGATCACTCCAGGATTCAGAAGGAAAGGGGTGGGGGCGGGAAAAAGATTGCCCAAGTGAGATGCAGAGCTTGGCGGGAAAAGAGAGCTGTCAGAGGCCTGGTGGAGGCCGGAGGCCAGCGCAGGAGCCCTGGGCGCCTAGCGCGCGTGAATCCATAAATATCACCACAATAGATACCATAAATATAAATACAGGGAAACACTTAAAATCAGTCCAGCGCTTTTTTCTCGGCCCCTTCTTTATTGTTGGTCCGGGAGTAGGGCTCGAAGGCCGAGGAGCTCAGGTACCGGGCGGAGAGTTCTTGTAAATTCCCGGCCAGCGAACCAGCCATCGTCAATGGGGCTGAAGACAGGCGGCTGGCAACCGAGCCGAGCAGCGAGGGCACCGGCAGGCTGAAGAGGCCGTGGCCCGCGGCTGGCGCTCCCGCGTGCAGTCCCCCCGGCCCTGCGGGTCCCGGGCCGGGAGCGCCACCCACGGCCTGTGGGTGCTGAGACGCGGCGCCCGCGGGGCCCGGGGCTGCAGCGGCGGCGGCGGCGGCCGAGCCTGCAGCGGCACCGGTGCCCAAGGCCGGCAGGCTGGGTCCGCGCAGCGCCGAGCCAAGCGCGCCCGTGGCGCAAGGCGGCAGCAGCGTAGGCAGGCCAGGCGGTGACAGCAGGCGGCCTTGCTCCAGCAGCCGCAGCACGCTGCACGTGGCCGCGGTCTCCGACACCACCGAGCGCAGCTCCGAGTCCTTGCCCTGATCCTTCTTCTGCTTGGTGCGCCGGTTCTGGAACCAGACCTTCACCTGCTCGCCGGGGCACGGGGAGGGTGACAGAGAGGAACAAGGAAGACAGGCGTCAAGCAGAGGGCTCCCGGGGCTCGAGAACTCTGGGGTCTCCCTCCCCCGGCCCTAGCCGCATCCCTACTGGCCACAGCCGCAAAGGTCCGGGCCGGAGAGGCCGGGAAGCTGCCATCGCCACGAGGGGGACACAGCTCCACTGGGCTGAGCTTCCGGGTCATGGAAGCACGATGAAGCCGGCGCCAGTTACAAAAATCAAAATACTAAAAATGTTCACGACACCAACTCAAAAGAAGATCAGAAGAGATTTCAGTGGGCTGCCATGCTACCCGCAGTGGTTTTGAGGTTCATAGATGTATGAATAAACTGGCCCCAGAGCCCGAAATTACAACGGAGAGTGTGAGGCCTAAATCAGGATGCAATATAGGGAACTCTTGGGTAAAAGAAGAGTTTCTCAGCCTCCCTAAACCCAGGCCATCACCCCAAAGCATTCAAATTTAGCCCCAGAAGTGCTATTCCTGCTAAGGGCCTGAAGTCACTTGACCATGAACCAGTAGCAAGCAGGGAAGCTGCCTGCAGAAAGAATAATTTGTGCAGATTGGAATTTATAGGCCAGCGGGATTGAGGGTGTAAGTGATACTCTTAATTTACCACTCCTGCTGTTCTCTGTCTTGAACTTGGGAATCATGGAAGGAAGATAGGAGGCTGAGATAGACAGGATACTACTCTCTGCCAACCTGCTCAATTCCTCTTCTCCTTCTTCCCCTCTTCTGATCTAGCAGCGACCCAAATAGAGTGGGGCAGCTATATGGAAAGACTATCCGGTCTAGATTTTGAAAACTGAAAGGGGTAGTGGCAGATAGATGAGGGAAAGTTACTATGTCAACTCAAACTACAATGGAGCATCCTATGTCATCAGTCCTCAGCATTCAACCCAAATCCCAGGCCTAAAAAATACACCCCCGTGCTTCAAAGCTGGGCACTGGAAAAGGAACTAGTCCTCTCAAAGATATCTTGCATAGTAGAGCAAGCTGATGGCATGGTTTGGCCAATCCTCAAAGTTCTTAGTCCTACAGCTTCTCTGGGCTTGCTAGGAGATCACATGACCATAATGGGTAACATATAGATTTGAGGTTAAGACCTAAAGCATTGGCTCCCAGGGTCCAAGATTCATGGCCCATCTCCTGTATCACACCACTGGCACAGAAGACAGGGCCTCCTCCTCAGAGGCCAGTGTGGTGCTTGGGCCAGCACAAAAACAGAAAGAACTTTAAGGCTCAAGGCAGGGGCAGGCAAACTGGGACATAGAGTTGTCTAGTAATTGTACATCTTTCTAGTTCTTCCACTTCCTGAAGAATAATAGATCTGGGTGCTTGGTGAAGCTAGGGCCCCCAAAGGAGTAATGCCTAAAGATCTGGCCAAAATAGGGTGTCAGAAACAGACAAAAAGTCAGCTCTTTATACAAGTAGAAGTAAGCAGAAAATTTTCAAGACTGGAAACATTTTTGAATTACAAAAGGATAAAATTTGAGACTCTCAGGTCAGGCCAACTTGTGTAAAACATTGAGGACTACAAGAAAACAGTCGGCTTATGGAAGGGGAAGAAATCTTTAGATCTTTCTTCCCTTGATCTGCTCCAACTCCTCTACCCTCATTTAGAAGCTCTGTCCAAAGCCGGGAGAGGTAACAAGAATGACCAGGCTGGTGTGGGTAGGGAGGGAGCCTTGGTGTAGAACTGTGTGCAGCCTGGCTGCGGAGTACCTGGGTCTCAGAGAGGTTGAGCTGCCGGGCGAGCTCGGTTCTCTCGCGGCCCACCACGTACTGGCAACGCTGGAACTCCATCTCCAGCCGGTAGAGCTGCTCCGCAGTGAAGGACGTGCGTGTCCTCTTGGGCCGGTCCAGATCCAAGCCCTTGGGCAGGATGATCTCGCGGATGGAACCCTTGGCATCTGGGAAAGGGGAGATGTCAGCCGCCAGAACCCTCCCGTCTCCTCACACCTCTTTGGCTCGAACTGCCTTTGGGGACACAGTCTCTAGCAGCCCACAAGGGATGGGGAATGGGACAGCTACAGCCAAGAAGCAAAGACAAGGTTTTTTGCTTTGTTTTGTTTTTTCTTGGAGTGGGGGTGGTTAGCTCCGCATGTCTGACAGGAATCATCAGAGTTTGCAGAGACCTCCAGACAGGCGAGGGGGAAAATCAATTCCAAATACGAAGACGTTCCTTTCGGTCTGGGGGCTCGGGTCCGGGATCCGGGTCCTCTGTGGCCTGAGCGTGCCCCCGCGGACCAGCCAGGGTTCTGCGGGCCGGAGGTTGAAAAGCAGCCTGCGCTCAAGCGGTCTTGCACCCCCTCGAAATCTCCTGCCCTCCCGAGCCCGGGCAGCGCAAGTAGGAGGGATGGAGTCCAGGCCCACAGGGCCTGGCTCGCTGCTGGCGGGGGCGGCGCCGAGCTGGGGCCTGGCCTCGCCTCAGTCCCTGCCCCGGCTGAGTGCTCACCGCCGCGCGAGGCCGAGCCAAAGAGAAGGCGCCATCCGTGGGCCTGGCACCCAATTCGGCCGCCTCTCCTGGGAGCGGCGGCCAGGCCCGCAGCGCCGCGCCAGCGCTCTCGGCCCAGCGCGCCAACGGCCCGGGCCGGGGCGGGCGGTCAGCGGCGGTTCCTCCAAGCCCGCGCTCCAGTGGGGTGCTCCGCGCCCCGAGGCGCACGGCTCGGCCGACCAGCTCCCAGCGGGTCCTCCAGCCCGCAGGCGCGCGTACGCACTCCCGGAGTCCCTATTCCCTTCCCAGTCCGAGGCCGCAGCCTGGTGGCCTGCGGGGTCCACGCAGCCCCTCGGCTCCCCCTGCGGCTGGCCGGCGGGGCCCCTCGGGCGTGGCGGGGCGAGGCCCCTGGAGAGCGCGCGCCGGCGAGCTCCAGGCTCAGGTCCCTGCGGCCGGCGGGCCCCGGGGAGAGGAAGCCCCGCAACTTTCTCCGAAGTCCTCGGCGGCAGCCCTCCCCGGTCTGCGCGGAGCGCAGCTCCCGCCCGGGGGTCGCCCCCAAAGCACACGCTCCACACCCTGCCCTGCTCATCCCTACCTCGGACTAGGATCCGGCGGCAGTAATCCGGGTCGGCTGGAGTACTGGGTTTACTTTTGTTACAATCTTCCGCAGCTCCTGACGCCGAAAAGGCGCCCTGCGGCTCCTTGAGGAAGGCGGCCGGGAGGCTCCCCTCGGCGCCCTTGATCTCTCGGCTCTCCTTGTGCGCGTTCTTGGAGACCCGGGCGGCCTCGGTGTCCGAGTGGCACCGGACGTCCATTTTGTCTTGTTTCCCGAACATAGGCAAAACAACACAAGAAAAGAAGAAGAAAGGAGGAAAGCAAAATAAAAAGGCAAAGGGAGACAAAACCCCTACAACGCAGCCCCTAAGCTCGGTCGGGCGAGAGGCGGGCGCTGAGCATGAATGTCCCCGCGGGGCGGCTTCGGCGGCGACCGGAGCGTGGCGCGCTCGCAGGGAGACGGGCGGTCTAGTCCAGGATCCCGGTGGAGCAGCGGCGAGGCCGCCTCGTCAGCGCCCGCGTCCTCTGAGCACGTCCAATGTCCCCAGCCCTGCGATCAGGTAGCGAACAGCGCAACTCCGAAATGCTTCGGCTCCCGCCTGTTACTGAGGCGGCGAGTTGTAGTTGTCGGACACCCGGGGGGGACGCACACTCGCTGTTGCAATTGATTACGGGTAATTTCGCAGCCCCCACGTTTCGGTTACCTCATGAATACACTAAATTGTTTGGATAATATATCAGATCGTAATGGATGGTTTCTCTCCTTGTCCCCAATCAAGTAGGGGTTTAGCCAGTGAATAAACGGAAATGATTGGTCTTGCTTTCAGGAAACGCACAATCAAAGACCTACACTTCCAGAAAAACTTTTGACAAGATTCATCCTGAATTGTTAGTGCCATTAGCAGGCATTATTAACTTTCCCTTTGCCTTTGACCCTCCTGTTCACATACTGGCTAGAGGGGTTTCTCCAACTGGCCAGATAGAGCTGAAGGGCTGTGGGGGGTTTCCCTCACACTGCAGCAGAAGAAAGCAGTTGCCTCTGCGTGGGGAAGAGATAAAGTTCCCCAAAAAAGTATCTCCCCCACATTCAAAAAAAAAAAAAAAAAAAGTCAAGCTTTCTCCCCAAGCAACTCCTTAACACACCTCCACGCTGACAGCCATCTTAAACTGCTCTCTTCATTTAGTTCCAGTTGGATTTTTTTCATTCCTGCACCTCCAGCAGCCCTGAGGCAGCCCATTCAAAGGGCAGCTTTGTGCTCGGAGAGTCCAGCGGAGAGAGAGGGAGAGAGGGAGAGAGAAGGAGACAGAGAGAGAGAGGGAGGGAGAGAGAGAGAGAGAGAGAGAGAGAGAGAGAGAGAGAGAGAGAGAGAGAATCTCAACTGTGAGATCTACTTTTAAAAAAAAGTTTTCCCCTAGCTATTTCATTGTCTCTGCTACAATATCTTTGAGAAAAGCAACAGCCAGTAATCCAATAAGAGCATTGATTAGGCTACAATGATTCAATTCAAGCGCATGGCCTTGTGCAAGGAGCATGCTCCAGCCCTTCTCGTCACCTTGCCGGGGCAGAAGCCCTCTCCACGCCGCTCTCCCCATTCATTCCTTTATGGGAAATGCGGAGCAAAAGGAGTGAAAGATGGCAATTATCTAATTGGACTATTAACAAACAGTCCTCTGAGTGCGGCGGTCTGGCGTGGCTCCTGGGCGGGGGAAGGGCCGCGTTCCCTGCCCTCATTCACAAAGAGTGCAGGGGCCGCCGAGGAAAGGGGGTTTAAAAAGGGGTGGGGGGGGCGGGCAGAGGAGAGGTGGGAGGTTTGGCTGAGAATTTTTCCACACAATTCCAGGATGGGGCGGGGGAGGGGAGGGGAGGGGACAGCGCTGGGGGCGGGGGTCGCGGCGAGCGGGTGGGAGGCGGCGAGGGAGTGGGGTGGGCTGGGAGCGTGTGTGGCGCCCCGAGGGGCTCCGGCTCTGCACCCGCCCGCCGCCCGCGCTGCGCCCCGCGGGACCCCTCCGGACGTCGGGGGCCGGCGGAGCCCCAGCCCGGCTTCCTGGCGCTGCACGCCGCGATGCTCGGCCGGCTGCGGAGGGTGTCCGCGGCCCTGCGGGCGGACCTGGCTTCACTTTGTCTTGGCGCGGGAGGGGCCCCTCCCGGGCCGACCTCCGCCGGCCGCGGGGTTCTCAGGTCCCCGGCAGGGCAGGGCCCTCGGTCCTCCGGCATCCAGCCGCGCGGGAGCCCGACGCCTCTGATCGCCGCTGTCCCCGGCCGGGTGGCTGGCGGCGGAGGCAGTGGAGAGCCGCAAGGGTCCTCGCCACAGCTCAGGACCGGGACCAGAGCGAGATTTAGACAAAATGTGGCCAAGTGGCCGCTGACTTCCCGCAACGCCTCGGCGCCGCAGGTGGCGCCTCGAGACCCCGAGGCTTCGCTCTTGCTGGGGCCGAGCTGTCAGGAAGTGCTACCTGGGGTCTAGGCTCCCATCACCCACAGGGAGGACCCCTGGAATTCGGGTGCACCCCACGAGGGTCCTGTCTCCCTGCAGCATTTGTTGGGCAGGAGTCCTGAAACTCGAACCCCATGGCTCATTCTTGCCTCCCGACAGGCCGAGAGAATAGCACTCCGCAAACTGCGGCAGATGGGGTGCGCAGGCCAAAGCGGGATCCCCTAGCTGCCTAGGATCCCTGAGGGCCGTACCCTACTGCTCCCTAGGCCATACAGACTCTGCGGCCTCCAGGTTTTCTCCAAGGTCTCTACAGCCTTGGAAACCCACGAAGACACCTGTGGCGCCAGGCCAAAGGCCGGGAAGGAAGTTTGAAAAAAAAAAAAAAAGCTCCAGCCCACCACTTCTTTTAGGTCTTTGGGGAGAGGGCAGATTGGGAACATCCTTTTGGCTTTAGAAAAGCCCCCCCCCCCACACACACACAGATGATTCGTGGGCAGTGGTGGCCCAAGTGTGTTCAAATTTCCAGAGGGAACTTGAAGTCGGGGCTTGGAGGTCCCTGACTCTTTAGAAGGGAAGATGGTAGCATATTTTGTTTTGAGTGGGAATGCTTTATTGGGCACTCCTCCTAGATGCATAAATGCATTTTATTTTCCTACCAGCCTCCTCAGGGAAGTAGCCCTATTCCAGAGTGGAAACCCAGAGATCAGGAACCTGTCCAGTCCACTAGTGGCTAAGTGCCGAATTTGTGCTCAGCTGGTCTGTCTTCAAAGTTGCTTGTGTGTGTGTGTGTGTGTGTGTGTTTAAAACCAGGTCCTCAGAGATGTGTCCCTTTTCAGTGCCCAAATTGCTCCTACTTTAAATTTTCCAAATCTCCAGGTATCTTGTTATATCTCAAAGAGACACGAAACAGTGACTTTATTTTTAAATAAATCAGGGAGATCCTGATTATTATTAGGCAGGAATTGTCATCTACTTTGTTCCAACAGCATGAAGTAGAAGTATAAAATTTTTCTGATCGTGCTATTTATTTCTAGCCATGAGCATTTTTTTTTTTTTTTGTCTTTTTCATTTTTACCGGTACCGGGGATCGAACTCACAACTACCTGCTTGTAAGGCAGGCGTTTATGCCGCTGAGCTAAATCCCCAGCCAGCCATGAGCATTTTTAAGTCTTTCACTCTTCAATATCAAGTGACTCTGAGGTGAGTGAAATTTAGTTTCCTGAGCTCAGGAAACTTGGATCAATGGTTCAGATCAGCTTTTCAGGGGATTTTCCCACAAGTTAAAGTTGGAGAACCAAAGACTGGGGACAAAGCTGATTCCTGAGGAGAGAGACCCCCCCAACACACACACACACACACACACACACACACACACACACACACACCAAAACAAACAACAACAACAACAACAAAAAACTGAAAATGCAAATGTTTATTGCAGACGGGAGCAAAATAGAGCCCTCTGGGAAAACATCTGGTTTGAGAAACAGACCTTTACTGAGTCTGAAGATGCTAAGACTGGGCAGGACTCAGGGAGGCCCCTATAGCATACAGTTCTCCCTCTGCCTTGCCAAGGACAACCCCTTTAACTAAAGAAAGTCATGCCTGTAAATTGGCCTCATAGACAGTGTTGTCCAAGGGTGCCCCTCTGGGTTCCACCTTGAATTTACCAAACTAAATAAGAAACAGCCCATGACCTGGTTTGGCCTTTTATTATGCATAATGTTCTCTCTCTCTCTCTCTCTCTCTCTCTCTCTCTCTCTCTCTCTCTTTCTTTCTCCCCCCTCCCCCCAGTATGTGTGTGACTGGATTAAAATTCTGTGGGCATCCATCCAGAAAAACCATGACAGGACACTGTGGAGGACAGAAGCCCTGGGCTGGAAATTTCAGAAAAGCAGCTGCTGCTCCTAGAAGAACTAAAGTGTGTGTCCACTGACAAAGAAAGGCGGGGAGTCAGTCAATTATTTGGAAAATCTGAGACAAGCCTGTACTGCACAACACACATGAGGACGCAGGGCTGCTCCAGGTGAAAACGTTTTGTTCTCTTGCCTAGATCTGCCTCCCTCCAGTGCCCTGCCTGCCTGCCTTCCCACCACTGTTTGCAGGTGCAGACAGACCCAGAATAGGACTGTAGAGCTGGAAGGATTTTTAGAGATCATCTATTCCATAACCTTCATTTGACTTGACAGATGAGGAAAATGAACCTGGAAAGACAAAGAGACTTGTTAAGAATTAGACAACTAGTTAGTGGGGGCCTCTGTGCTATAATCCTGGTCTCCTGACTCAAAGCTCCACTCCCACCTCCACCCAGGCTTCCTATAACCCAAAAAAAGATGAATGTGCTCTCGGGGACTGGTGAAATGATGACACATAAGTGAATAAATCATACTGTGAGCCTTGGGGTGCTTTTTATACTCCCTGCCTCTGTCCCCTTACTTCCCATCATGGCACCAGAAAACAGGGTTCAAAAGAGTACAAACGTTTTTCTCTTCCATCTTCCCTTTTTATTTCAGAAAGAAGTAGGGGGTGAAACATGCTGGCAGAAAATCCAAGATCCTTTCAGACTGTGAGTGGTTTGGGGAAAGCCTAACTTACTGTCTGAGACATTGTGTTAAAAAGGCTTGCATCAGGAGAGATGATACAACCAGAAATTATGTCCCCCCACATGAATCAGAGTACCTGATAGTAATAATGCATTAAAAATAAGAATAGCTGGTATTTATGCAGACTCTCATCTCCAAAATTGCCAGCAGTGGTGAATTCAATCTCATTTAATTGTCTTTATCCCCATTTTATCGTAGCTGTGGTACTGGAGAAGTAACTGAAACAAGAACCAATGTGAGACACCCAAACTAGAAAACAGCCATGCATATACATATTTCTTCCTCGTTTAAGCTAAAAATAGAGTATTAACCAGGGGACAAAGGGCTAAACTGAATTATTTGATGTTTAATGCAAGGAATCCCACTGGACTTTTCTTCTTGACCTTGCATTTTGTACCAGGCAACTAAGTTCTTCAATTACTTATATATTTTATACATGAAACATCATCTAATTTGAGAGGAAGGAGTTTTAAAGGGATGTAACTCACTAGGTCTAAATGTTCACTTCTTCAATAAATTAAAGAAACATGGGCTCTGGAATCAGTCAGGTTGCTTGATTCATGTATCCATATATAGTCCAGCTCCATTACTTACTAGCATGGTAGATCTAGGAAAGTTATTTTCCTTTTCCATGCCTCAGTAATCTATCTGCAAAATAAATTTAGCTCTAGAATAAATGAGGTTGCTATGTACCTAAGTTAAGTATTTGGAACAGTGCTTGACACATAGTAGACACTGACATAAATTTTTGCTATACGTGTCTTTATTTGGGTATTTGCCATGGACTCAGTCCTCTAGAGATAGAACTCAAAACACCAAGATCTAGCCAAGGTAACTGGTCTAGGCACTAGACAACTAGTTTTTATTAAAGACTTGTTGACTGCCATTTTTTATCCAACACTCTTAACAACATTTTGAGAACAATTGTGCATACCCATTATGTTGAGTTAAAGATGACTATAAAATTATTTTCCATTCCTGGCAGGAAGAGCTACAGCCTGTCTTCCCTTTCCCGAGTTTGTCTATCCTTGCAACATGCTTTGTTCCATAAATTGAGATGGAAGTGACCTTGTATTAATTCTGCGATGAGGCCCTACAAAAGTTTGGTAGCTTCTGCTCCTGTTCTTATAGAACTCTGCTGCTCTGCTGTAAGCAAGGCAGCCTAGGCATGAGTGAGGCCCATTTGATGATGTGAGTTCATCCCCGAGTGCAACTTTGCAAAGGATCTGACAAGACCAGGTAAGGTTAGGATGAACCATACCTGCTGAGCCCTGACCAAATGTATTAGCAGGCTCTCCAAAAACATATACTGGCTGTCTTAAACTGCTAAGCTATGAAAGTTTGTTATGCAGCAACAGATAACTGAAATATCCATATTATGCTTCAGAAACTAAGGCTTGGAAAGGCTAAACAACTTGTGCGTGGTCTCTTAGGAAATAGTACAGCCTGACTCAGAACCAGGACCAACTGGAACCAAAATCTTTGATCTGCCAACAAGCTCTCTCATACTTGCCATGG